GAAGCTGTTTAACCGACGCAACACAACCCAAACCCGAGGCTTCGTGTTGCAAACTAGAGAGGCCTGGGCAGCCAGGTGCAGAAAACTGAGCGCCACGCGTGAACAGCAGCAGCAAAAGCAGGGAGAGGAAACAGGCAGCAAGGAGGAAAAAAGGAAAAGCCAAGAGCAGCATGGAGAGGAGCAGGAAAGCGAGCGAGAGGGGAGGCAGCAAAGCATGAAGGAGAAAAACTGCTGCAAGCAGCGCGCAGCGGCAGGGGGACGGGAGATAAGGCAACTGTAAGCCAGATTGAAAAGCTGGCCGTCATTGTGAAGCGCGGTACTTCCTGTCCCGCATGAAAGCGCGGCTGCATCCAAGGGCGGCCCAAGCCACCAGCACTAGTAGAGTCCGCAAAGACTCACAGGAAAGAGGAGGAGGAGGAGAGACATGAAGAGGAACAAGAGGACGAAGAGGGAGGAAACGCGGAAAAGCAAGGCCCAAAGCATAGATACGAGCGCCACTGTATCTCCCCTGACCCAGGTGGCCAGCGATACGAAACGCACATCACATGCAACAGAGATAGCGGGCGGAGGCAGGCAGCAGGAGCCAAGGAAATAATAAACATGTCGAACCAACCGATGGTAAACATCAAATATTAGCGGCAACTCCGACTGGCGGACGCTGTAAGCTCACTGCGTAACAGGATCCCGCACAGCAGAAGCGCTCATCGCATGCACGCGTACAACTACAGTTCACAGTTCACACAAACAGGGCCAACGACGGCCAGCAGGAGGAAGGGGGGCGGAAAAGAGGGGAAGGCAACCGCACGCTCAATCCGTGCACTCCACTGTGCTGCTGGGCATCGCGCTGCTGCTCGCCGTCGAACTGCTTACCGCCGCGTCGCCTTCCACACTGCACGTCCTGCTGAGCATGGCCTGTTCGTGAGTGGCATCAGGCGAGTCACGGCTGATGCCCGCCGCTTTCCACAGCCGAAGTGCGTGGACCGCGGCGGAGACCTGACCCTGCGGGACGTCCAGCCGTCGCCAAGTGGTTCGTCCTGGGGGGGGGGGGCTGCTGCAGCTGACGCCAGACCCCTCCCTCGGGAGGTTCGGGGGCGCCGGCGGCCAAGCGGCTGGAATGGCTGCCCTGTGTGGCTGAGAGAACTGCCAGTGCTGTGCTCAAGGGCCAGCTTGCTTCTGGGCTCAAGGATCTTTGCTGGCGCCAATTCTCTTGCCTTTAATGGTGTCAGTGCTGGCGTCGGTGTAGTGTCTGGGCTGGTGTCGATGGCATGCTCATGCTCGCCGAGCTCCCTACCGATGGAGACTCTAGGATGGGGTGGTGGAGAAAAAATCGTAAGCGTATAGGGCGTAGCGCAGGGGATGCCAACCCATCCTCAGGCGAGGAGCGGTGGTGGCAATGAGAGCGGGAGTGGAAGCGGTAGCCGTAGCGGTGAGGATGGTAGCAGTCGTGTTGTAGGTCTTAGTGGAGAGGACTTTGAATCGGAGCTGGAATCGGAGCCGGAGTCGGTGCTGGAGTCGGATCTGGAAAAGGGGCTGGCGTTGAAGCTGGTGTAGGAGCCTGAGCCTCAGCCAGCGTTGGACGGGAAGTCGCAGCAGGAGTCGGAGCCGGCGCTGGAGTCGGGGTTGGGATCAGAGCCGGTGCCAGCGATTAGTCGGAGCAGGAGTCGATGCCGCATCAGCGCTGGCATGCCCGCGGCACCCGAGGGTGATGATCTTGCGAGGCGGGGATTTATCCATATCAACCGCCTGGGAACCGACGTCCTGGTGCCCCAGCGGGCGGTGGATATGGATATATTTCGGCCCCCGGGGGCCCGAATATGTCCAAATCCACCGCCTGCCGAGGCTCCGAAAACTGACCCTCCAGGCGGTGGATATGGATAAATTCCCACCTCGGAGATCTACTCCAAAAGCCACGGTGGATGTTACGGACTGGTGAGCGGCGATTCGTGACAAGATAGGCCGTGAGAGGCTGCATGACCGCATGGTGCATGTCACGGACTCGGTGTACGGCGACTCGCGGCAGGATGGGCAAGAGCGCATCCAAGATGCATCTGTGGTCGTTGAGGCCAACGTCCGAGCTGGGGTCGGGTCGTAGCCAAAGTCGGGATGGGCGTGGGGCAGGAAGCGTACGGAGCCGGAGTCGGATCTGGGGTCGAAGCCAGAGCCGCCATCGCAAGTGTCAGAGTTTTGTAATCGATGGCGTTGGTGGTGGTGCAATCGATGGAGTCGGTGATGTTCCAATCGATGGCGTCGGTGAGGCTGCAGTTCACAGACCTGGTGCGCGACGGCTCGAGACAAGATGGGCAGGCACGCCCCCATTCTGGCAGCGAAAGGCTGTATAAATAACTGGGCGGGGCATGTCACAGACTCGGTCTGCGGCGACTCTCGGCAGGGTAGGCTGGCCCGCCTCCGTGGGAGCGGCGAGGGCTGCAGGACAGTTGATGATTGTCACGGTCTCGATGCGCGGCGATTCGTGGCAGTATGGGCCAGCACACTTCCAAGGTGATCGTCACGAAAGGCTGCGGCGTGACAGTTGGTAGTTGAGGCCGGCGACGGAGCTGGGGTCGTAGCCGAAGTCGGAATTGGCGTGGGAATATGGGTGTAGTCGATGGAGTCGGCGGTGATGCGGCCCGGTTTGGAAGCAGGGTTGACGTCAGGACAGGGCCATAATCGAAGCCGCCAGGGTCTGATTCGGGGCTGGAGTCGACCGTTGGCAGAATGCGCGCCAGCCAGCGTGACGGGAGGCTCGCGCTGACGGGTGCGACGGGCGGCCCGCAACTGTGAAGGCCCCAGGGCTAGGGTTGGCACCAGCCAAGCGAGACGGGCGGCTCGCGCCCGCCGTTGTGACGGGCGGCTCGCGCCAAGCGGTGTGTCGAGCGGCTCGCGCCCGCCAGTGTGACGGGCTGTCCGCGCCAGCTGGAGTGACGGGCGGCCCGTGCCAGCGGGTGTGACGGGCGGCTCGCGCAAGGAAGTATGGCGGGCGGCGCGCGCACGCAAGTGTGGCGGGCGGCTCGCGCTGGGTGGTGTGACGGGCGGCTCGCGCCAGGCAGTGTGACGGGCGACTCGAAACCGCTGGTGTGACGAGTGGCCTGCGCGGGCTGGTGTGACGGGCGGCTCGCTCTGGCGTCGTGCTGCTGGAGTCCGTCGTGTTTTTTGTCTTTCTGTTTTGTTCTTCTCACTTTCACGCGCAAGCGGCGTCCGGGCCCGCGCGCGGCCGCCCGCCGCGGGCGCCCGCCGCGCCCCGGCTCGCCGCACCCTGGCGCTGCCGCCTCACACGACGGAGCCCCAGGGCGCGCGACTGGCGCAGCGCAGGAAGTGGTCTTTCACACCCCTGCCTGCCCCCCGCCGTATCTCAAGGCAAGCAACAAACAAACAAACAAACAAACAAACAAACAAACAAACGAACAAACAGGGCGGCGGCCTATCGCTTTGCTGGTCCCGCCCTTCACGTCCTCCGCGGCGTCGGCGAAGCGCGACGGAGGCGTGGCTGCGCTCGGACCGTGCCCCCCCCCGCGCCCCCCCTCCGCCAGGGGGCGCGGACGACGCAGGCGGCACATGCTACGCAGACTTACTTTTTTTTGTGTTATTCCCCCAACATCTTCCGCAGCTCTGATGAAGTATTGAATCCGCATCCCCTCAAGGGGGCTTTGACGGCACCCATCGTCAAGGCCAGAATGACGCTGTGTGTGCATCCCACCGAGGTCCAACCGACCATTACATAGACATCACACAACGACAAGCTAAAGGAGAGTGCGCAGTACAATAAAAGAAATCAAACCGGCGTTAAAACTGTTAAAACAGATTGCGTCCATTTCCGCCGGAGGAGGAGGAGGACGACGACGGCGAAGGAGGAAACCGAGGAGGCGGGAGACACACATCCAAACCAAAGAGCCTGCTACAGCCAACCTGGAGTAGGTGAGCCGCTGCATGCACTAACAAGCTGGGACAACATGAAACAATGTAGGTCTATGCGCCCCTTGCGACCCAGGTGGTCACGTTGACAAACCTACAACGGAGGAGAAGAGGAAAGGGCAAGGAAACAATAATACTGTCATGCGCACGCCGTCTCAAGCAAGCAACCCGCCCCAGGTGCCCTACAATGACACGTGGCGGTCGACTGGGCAGCTTTTGCACACCAGTGAGAAGCTAAGAATCGGCCACGAGGGCCCTACCAACAGACGCGGAAACGCGGGCCCAAAGCGGCTCCTGAGAGAGGAGCGGCTCCGTGCGCCGGGCAGCCAGAGGTCTGCCAGCATGCCCTGGCCGTGCAAGCGGCGCGACGGCGTTAATTGGAACGCCAGGGCGCCCACGCACCCTGGACACGAGGAGGGGGGCAGAGGAGAGGCGAGAAGGCGGAGGAGAGCAGGACAAAGGAGGGAGACGGCTGCACGCTCAGAACGAGCGTCCTGGACATCCACAGCCGAGAGCAAACCTGTCATCTCGGAGTCGGGGATCGGCAGCCCGATGCGGAGAAAAAAATACGGCGACGGACGGGAAGAGGATGGAGGAGGCAGAGGAGAGGACAACACCCCTCCTCGAGCGCTGCGGGTGCCAGCTGTTCTTCGACGAGCGGCCTGGACATTCATTCCTCTGGCAGGACGCCGCGGGTTTAATCGGGACAATGACCACAGTGAGAAGCTATATGCACCACTCGCCTCGCCCAGCGCGCTGGCAACTAACTGTTCGTCGCAAGCCTGTCCTACGAACGTGGCCGAAACGCCGGCCAGGGAGAAGGGCAAAAAAAAGCGGGCGCCGGCTGCGGCGGACAAATCCTGCCCCCCTTGGACAGACAGACGCGGCCCGGACGCGGCTTGCGACGATCCTCGGTGCCAACCAAGGCGGCGAAGCACGAACACATGCCACCCTGGGCGTTCGCAGGAAAAAAATGGCGGCAAGCCGGCAGCGGCGTCAGCAGGGGAGGAGGAGGAGGAGGAGGAGGAGGAGGAGGAGGAGGAGGAGGAGGAACAGGAGGGGGGAGAAGAGGTTGGACGGCTACTGAAAGCTCACTGCCAGCGCGTGTCCAACACCGCTGCGGCCTGGCGATGCCCTTGCACGGCTTCCCGGACGGCTTGCTCAAGTGCGCGGCGCACCGTGTGCGCGCCACTCAGGGCCGCTCGCTGAAGCCGAAACCTGCAATGCAGCTGGTACGCCGCGGCCATCCGCAGAGCCCCGAGCGTCAGCCGAGCATCCGTGAGCTCGGATTGCGGCTCAAGCAGCAAGAAGTCCAGCCTCCGCGCTTCGCGGTCTCGCCGGTGCGGCAGCCGCAGGTGGCCCGCCCCGAACTCGGCAAGCGCGCGGCAAACCGTGGCGTGCTCCACTGAGTCCCCGTCCTCGAGGCCGCAGAACAGGCATGCTCCGCGCCCGCCGAAGCGCCTTGCAGTGCACCACCCCGACCAGAGCGTGCGCCACGCTGCCGCTGCGACTCGGGGAGGAACAAGGCATGCGAGCCGGTGCAAGACGGTCGTCGCCCGCTGTGCTCGCAGCCGCGGGAAAAGCCCCACGTCCCAGTGCTCGAGCTTGGCGCGCATGCGCACCTCTGGCAGCCTCCGCTCCTGGGCAAGAAGCAGCCTCCCGACCGCGCGCTGCAGCCCCGTCTCCGCCTTGCGCGTGCTGCCGTGCCGGCCGCCTGGTGCTGCGCTTCAAGGAGCGTGATGCCCTGCCGCATGAGCGCGTCGGCGTTGTCCCGCAGCCTTTGGTGATACGAAGTCCGCCACCATCCGGGCCACCGCGCCAGGCGGTGAACGCGAGGGGAATCGCGGAGCAGCGCCTCCAAGCATCGAAGCCGAGACACGCATTGCAGCCCGCCCTGCGCCCGGGCTTCGCGGTGCCAAACGCGGAATTTCGCCGCGGCGCTCACGATGCGTAAATCTTGGAACTCCTGCGGGAAGCCGAAATCCCGCCGGAGCCCGTGCAGGTCATCCGGATCGCACCACCTGAACGGGCCGCGCACCAGAAGACGGAGGATTTGGGCCTCGGTGACTGGCCACTCCCTTGGAAGCGGCTTAAGCTCCAACAGAAACCCCAGCGTGGAGGCGATGTACACCTGGTGCACGACGGCGGCGAACTGCAGCCCGAGCCCGATCGAAGACCACAGACGGGCCCGCCCGCTGGTTTTCTCGATGGCTGCTTGCCACGGCCGTTCCTCGCTCTCTGGCCCCAGCACGAAGCCGAGGTACTTCGCCCAGCACTGGCACTGAATCTGCCCCCAGGAAGGGAAGGAAGCTCGCAGCTCTCGCGACACCTGATCTGGGGAACGGTCGCCGAGGGGCACCGCGATTACCTTGCGGAAGTTCAACTGCAGCCCAGATGCCATTGCGAACTGGCTGAAGAGCGGGACCAGCGCGGGGAGAGCTTCCGCCAGGTTTGGCAGCACCGAGACCAGGTCGTCGGCGTAGGCTCGCACCGTCGCGGCAGGCTGTTCGCGCTGGAGTTTCCTGAGCAACGGGTCCACAGCCACTGCGAACAACAACGGAGACAGTGGGCACCCCTGCCGAATCCCTGCGCTGATCTTGAAGCCGCGGTGAAATTGCCCGCAGGCCGCAAGGCTGCATCCATGCCCCCAATAGAGGCTCTCCACGAAGCTGCAGACCGAGAGCGGCAGACCCAGCCTACGAAGTGTGCGAAAGAGGAACTGGTGTGAAAGCGACGGGAAGGCGGCCTGAAAGTCGTAGAAAACAGCTGCCGGTTCGTCGTCGCGTAGAGCAACCTCCCGCATCGCCGCGTCAACGTCTGTCACGTTCTTAAGCATCGACCGGCCCGCCAAAAGACCCTGCTGCATCGTCGAGATTGCCCGCTCTAGGATGGGCTCGATTCTGAGCCGCATGGCGTTGGCCAGAAGGCGATTGTCTGTGTTCACAAGGCTCAGGGGTCTGACGTCCTCCGCCCTCGTGTACTCCACCCCCGATGCAGACACCAGCAGCTGCTTCTTCGGCAGGAACACCATGGTCGCCTCGTTAAACTTGGAGTGCCCGTCGCCATTGAGAGGGAAGGTCGTCGCCAGCGCCGCTTGCCCGGCGTCGGTCTCAAGGAGCTCCGCCGCGTCGAACAGCGCGTCGCAAGCCAAAAGCCCAAGGCGACGCCAGGCTGCGTACGGGATGCCGTCGGGCCCCGGGGCCGAACGAGAAGTGCGAGAGATCGCCCGCTCCACGTCGTGCTTGCAGATCCGCCACTGGCCAAGGTCCTCCAGGAGTGGCCGCAACGCAGCAGCCAGGCCATCCGGCGCCTCCCTGTCCCTGCGGATCCACTGCTCGATGTCTGCTACCTGCAAGCGGCGCTCTGCAAAGACCTCACCCCAGTGACGACGGAGGACGCAGGCGACCTCCTCCGGAGCGACCTGCACCGAGCCGTCGGCGTCTTCCGGTGCCAGTGCCGTCGCCGAACGCCCTGGGGCCAGCTTTCGGATCCGCTGCAGGATGGACGAGCGCCGGCGCTGCGCGAGCTCAGGGTCTAGCTCGGGCAAGTCTGCGCGGAGCTCTTCGAGGTCGGCGCGGGCGGCCTGCCTGGCCAGATCCACCGCGAGGCGCCGGAGGATCGCCGCAGCGGCCCCGGGCTCCTGGTCCACCAGGCGCTGCTCCAGCGAATTCCCAATCGCCGGACAGCGCGCCGCGAAGTGGGGGACCCAAAGCCAGCGCACGCGCTCGAGGCGCCGGAGTGCGCCCATCACCGCGCCGAGCTCGTCGTCCGCCGATGGCGCCGCCGTGCGTTGCGAGAGCGCCATCTCCGTTCGCATGCGATCCGAGACATGGCGAATGGCACCCTTCAGCAAGGCCAGCCTGTCGAGGGGCCCGCATTCAGAGGCAGCCTCCCGGAGCCGTCTGTGATAGTCAGCCGAGACGCGCAGCGGCCAACTCTCAGCGCGGAGTACCGCCTCAGGAATAGGGGCATCCGAGGGGGGGCGCGGCGGCCGCGCCAGCCTGCCGAAGGCCAGAGGCCGATGCTGAGACAGGCGAGGGCACCACTCGAGGGCCGTTGCGAAAGACCAGCGGTCCAGCTGCTCGCACAAATGCTGGTTGGTGTAGACGCGGTCGAGGCGCCCCCTGGACTTCGGGCCGTCGTGCGTGGCATCCGGCTGCCAGATCTCGTAGAGCAAGGCCTCGTCCGAGAACAGCCTCTGCCAGTGCCGGGCCTCCGCCGCGTCCGAATCCCCAGTGAAGATCCCCGTGTCCTTGTTGAGACGGTCCTCCCGCGTTGGGACGAAATTGAAATCGCCGGCGAGGAGCGACAGCACTGCCTGTGGTCGTAAGCCCCGCCGGATCAGGCCAGCCAGTTCCCCCCGTTGACGGCGCACTGAAAGCAAGTGTGCTGTCTGCTGCGCCGCGGTCGGCGCGGCTCCGTGTATGCTGTGGCGCCGGCCAGTGGGGAAGTAAGCAGCATGTAGATCCAGGGCCCCGTCGAGGCCGCGAAGCGTCAGGCGCCCAAGGCGGCCGGGATCCAGCTCCTCCCACACGGGCTCCGCCGTCTGAAAGCGACGCAAAAAGTCACGCTTGACCACGATGCCGATGCCTCCCCGGGAGGCCGTCCCAGCTGACCAGAACGACCGTGTGCCAGGTAAGTCCGAGAATGCTGTCTGACTCCCTGTCGTCCCGTGCGTCTCGGACAGCATCGCGAAGTCTGCGTGCACGAGCAGCCTCTTCAGCAAGAGGCGCTTCGCGCCGTGGGAGCGTGCCCGCGACGCGAAAAATCCCTGCGCATTCCAGGCCGCTCCGCGATAGTCCCCCACGAAGGGTCCAGTCAAGACACGGCCATCGTGCAAGGGAGGGCCTCCTGGAGGCGGGCCTGCCATCGCATCCCGGCGCTCGCCCGGCGAAGCCTCTGGGGGCCTCGGGCGTTTCACGCCGCGGAGCTGCGGGGCCGCTCTCGCTGGTGGGAGTGGCAGCGCCGCTGAGGGAGCCGGCAGGGCGCCCAAGAAACGATCCAACTGCCGCGGTACCGTCCCGTCCACTCGACGCCGGCTGAAGTCCAGCAGCAAACAGAAGCACGAAGTAGGAGATGTCGAAGTAGAAGCAGAAGAGGTAGGAGTCGCCGAAGGAATAGCACATGATGAAGAAACGGTAGACCGAGATGACACAGAAACGTGTGAATTCACAATCGCGTGCAGAGCCCCAGACAATGCCGAGGCTGAATCGGGAAGCGGGGCTTCGACGAAGAGACAGCCGCCACCCTGGGGCAGGCTCAAGCCCGCGGGACAGGGGGGGGCCCGCTGCGGCGGCCCCCCCGGCGACCGTTTTTTGCCGCCTCCCGCTGCGCTCCGTCCTCCACGGCTGTGATTGTGATCGCGTCTCCCCCGACTGCGAACGCCTTCTCGTGCACCATACCCAAGACCTGCTGCACCTGGGCCTCGTCGGCCAGCGTCAGGCGCAGGCGGCCGTTCACGTTGTTCTGGAGGTCGCGGAGTGCCAGCCACTGACCTGGCTGCATCTGCGAGCTGGCGGCCGCCGGTGCAAGATGGACCCCCTGTGCCGTGAGGTGGGCCAAGATGCCTTGGACGACGGCGGCACCGTCGACGCCGGCAGGCCCGCTGGGTTGGACTCGTACGCATCTGGGCGCCCGAACCCCAATCTGGGAGGCGTCCCGAGCAGCTTCACGTGCGCATGCGTCAAGCTGCCGTCCTGTGGCCTCCGGCTGTGCGATCACGCGACCGCCCAGCCTGGATGAGCGCCAACGGAGTCGAATGCCACAGCACGACGGGTCATCCGCGAAGACCTTCTCCAGGTGCTTCTCCCACGTCGCCTGCGAAGCCAGCGAGCGTACTGTGAGACGCTTGGGCCCCACGAAAGCCATCTCCTCGCAGAGCAAGCTCATGAGCGGAGCGGCCAGCGGGGAGGAGATCTCCAGAAGGGGGGCCGCCGCATCGCCATAGATGTCGTCTAGCGCCATCAGCGCACTGGGCAAAGGCCTCCGGCTCGGAGGTGCTGCAACATCGGTCGCATGGCAAGCGAAGTAGTAGCCCCCACTGGGAAGAAGCCTCGAAGAAGAACGCGTCGAGAGTCCTGCCTGCACCCTAGGCTGCGGCCAGGGCCCGCCCAGCGGATGGGCAGATGCCCGAGTGTCTGCCGCAGCAGGCGCTGAACGACAACCAGATCGCCGAACGGGCAATCCACTTGGATGCTGCGGCAACGCTCCAAGTTGAAGAGCAGACCTTCCGTAGGGATCGAAACGGGGACCGGAGTAGACGTCGAGGGAGCCAGCGTGACAAGCATCAGCGTCCGCAGTCCCTGCGCCGGCGTCGACGCACCGCCCAGGATGACCTCCAGAGGCCGATCGGTGAACTGGACCGAACGAACCACCGGAGATCTGTGTCTGAGCAGCGGGTGCGGCCAGAGGTCTGCCAACGCGGTGGCGTCTGAACAACCTGCCGGCGCGTCCAGCACGACGATCAGGCGGAGGATCAGGGGCTGCGGCGCCGCGACAGCGTGCCGAGTGTAGGCACCGAGGAGCCGGCCCGTCACGGCAGCGTCCTGGGGGCACCAGATCGTAGCCCTCGAGATCCCTGCGCCCGTGAGCGCCTCTGGGCCGTGAGCGAACAGCTGCTCCACGATGGCGCGGGCCTCCCGCGGCGGAAGAAAGCCCGAGGGAGCGTAGCCAGGCGGCAGGGTTGGGAGCGCGGCGGACCCCCCCTCGAGATCGGAGAGCTGCGAGAGGATGACCTCATCGGGTCCCAGCGGCTCTCGAAGGAGCAACTGGCGGGCGCCAGGTCCCAGTTCCGCCCAGCGCGGGACCTGCTCGCGACCCTGTGGCGCTCGCTGCCGGACGAAGCCTGGGAGTTCAAACTGGCAGGCCGCCCGAGCCTCGTCGAGGGCTTCCAACGTCCGCCGCGCAGCGGCGGTGTCCACAGGTCGCCAACTCTGGTCGTCCGCGGCCGTGAGCAGCAGACGAGCCACCTCGAAGCGCTGCTCGATCAGGGCCGCATTGGGTGTTGGGCCCTCCAGCGGAGTCAGCCCCAGCCGCAACCACATGTTCAGCGACTCCGGCTTGAAGGCGAGGCCGTGGAGCACCGCCTGCAAGCTCGACCAATCCGAGAGTGATGATCGCGGGGTCAGGCCCACAGTCGTACGGCCGACTACAGTAGCGGCCTGCAGCACCTCGAAGTGCTCCAAAACCACCGTCTCCACCAGGTCCGCCACCACCGACGCGGGCAGCCACAGCGTGAGGCGCTGTGCGGCAGGGCCAGGGGGCCCGGCGGCAGCAGCGGAGGCGGCGATCCTCGCGACGTTCTCCTCGTCCACCTCGATGGCCTCCGACTCGGCCAGCGTCTGCGACACCCCACCGTCAGCAGCGCCAGCGGCAGCCCCCAGCTGCAAGGCTGTCATGCCTTGCGTGGCGCCGGTGCTCTCGTCCTCCATGCTGTTCGTGTCCTCAGCCATGCCAGCTGGCGCCGCGGCGGCTGGGGCTGCCGCCGCCGCGCCGGCCGAGTCCAGGCCGAAGGATTGGTGCGCCGCGCAGACGTCCTGGCCGGGCATGGCGAGGCCGTCCACTCCGCAGGCCACGCAAACACGGCAACGCAGCGCCATGCTTGAGCCAAGCACGTGCTACGCAGACTGAATCACAACAGGTGCGCAAGGACTAGCCCGCCTCTCGGCCCCCCCCCCTCCAGCCAGCTGCAATGAGCCAGACTCGAGGACGACGCGCAAACAGGCGGGACGCACCACGCCCCCCACATAAACAAGGAGGGCGGCTCGGTCGGCCACCGTCGCACCCTCAACAAAAAGGCAACGGGAGAAAAAGTCAGGCGCCTCGCGCGGGGGCACCAGCGACTTCCTCCTCAAAGTCAGGTGGGGCGGAGCCGTCCCAAGGCACTCGACCAGCGCATGCCGAACTGAAGCCTGCGATGCCCCAGGAATCTCCACCGAAGACCGGCAAAGGCCAGGCGCCACTCATCCGAACGAGCGCCCAAGCTCGGAGGTCAGCCCAGAGCGCAGGTCCCCGCTCAACTTCCAGCAAATCCAGTAGCGGCCAGGATGGCGCGGGACAGACGGCCGCGAAGGAGAAGCCGAGGGTGGCAAGGATGGGCGTAGCCGCTTCCTGAAAGGCTGCGACATACTCCAGCATCGCAGGCCGCAACACTTGCAATTTATAGGCTTGGAGGAACGCTCGACGCGCCTCGGGGCAGCGCTTCGCCGCGCCCACCGGGGCTCCCGCGACAGCAGGGTGCCCGGTGATGGGCAGCGGGGGGGACGGGAGTACGCGAGCCAGTGCAGCCGCGTCCGTCAGCCAAGACCCCACTGGCAGGGCCGCTGCGGCCGTGCCCACAATGGACGCTGGATGCCCCTCTGCGAGCATATCGAACCGAGTGCGGGCCACAAGCGTCCGCTCCACGAACCTCGTCCCAAGACGCAAAGGCCAGCCGCACTGCGCCACAAAGACACTGTGGCGAAGGAGCGGGAGTCCGTTGTGTTGGCCACGATAGTGCTGGAGTCCGTTGAGCTGCTCGCCACGGACGGTCATGCTGCTCACTCTGGTGCTGCTGGAGTCCGTCCTGCTGCTCACGCTGGTGCAACTGGAGTCCGTGCTGCTCTTAGAGGTGCTGCTGAGGTCCTTGCCGTCCACGACTGCGCTGCTGGAGTCCGTCCTGTTATTCACGCTAGTGTTGCTGAAGTCCGTCGAGCTGCACCCGATGGTGCTGAAGTCTACATCGTGTCACGATGGCACTTCTGGGCTGCGGCGTGCTGCTCGCAGAGGAGCAGCAGTCTGGTGAGTCAAAAATGATTCGAGGCGAGAGGGCCGCTTTTAGACCTGGGTCGCGCTCTCCGATGACGTCTAGAGCGCCTGGGGCTTCGAAGGTCCCAAAACCGCCGTGGCCAGACCGTCCGCGTGGCACCCAGGCTGACTGCGAGGCGTCGGTTCCACGGAGGCCGCGGAAGCATAGGCGGTGCTCTCGGCGCGGGCGGGGGCGGCGGGGTCGGCTCTCGGCTGTGAGGGCGGTCGTGGGGAGAGTCTGCCGCGGTAGCCTCTGAGCAGGTGTGGGGCGCGCGCCTTGCGCAGAGGCTGGGGGGTTTGCAACAGGTCATAGGATGCCGAACCACCGCATTCGAGCCTTATTTCTTCCTGACCGTCTGGTGATGCTTTCGGAATTTCTAGGTCACCTGATTTCACGCCTCGCGCCCTCGAGCGTCCCCCCCTGGAGAAGGGCACACTCTCCAGCCCAGACCGCGAAGCGCCGGCGCGGCCTATCTTCGCGCCCCCGCGGGTGACGTTTGGATCGTGGGGACACCAGACAGTCCGTCACAAGACGGCCTGGGCACCCCATAGCCCCGCGAGAGGCCGGGCCATCGTCTGGCGGGCCTCTGAGGGTGCAGCGGGCAAGGCCGCCTGGTCTCCCCAAGCCGGGGGCCGTCCCCACCCGCCGAGGCTCCGGAGGGACGTTCGGGGCTCCAGCGGAAGCCCAGCCCCGCCAGAAGACTCTCCACGAGGCGCAGCTGCTGGACGCCCGAGGAACCTCGACGAGGAACCTCGAAAAGCGTCCGAAAACCTCAGACAAGGCTCAAGCAGGTCGGAACACTGGGAAAAGCCTCGCGAACCTTTCGAACACTCAGCAACAATCCCCCCCTCGCGCGGCCCGCTCCTCCCCCACGCGGACCCCATGACAACCAGCGTTGCGCTGCGGTTCGCGGAGCTGATCTGCGGGTACTCCTCGCTGGCAGGGTTGGTCACCTCGGACGCGGGGCCCGCCGCGCCGTGCCAGAGCGGCACGGGTCGGGGCAGGGGCGGGGGGCAGGGCTGAGGGAGTGAGGGTTAGATGGCAGGGGGCAATGAAACACACACACACACACATGCGGATCATAGTCAAGCTGTCAGCGCGTGCAATCCTTGAGCCTCTGCGGAAGGGGTGAGGAGAGGGAGGGGCGGAGGGATAGGTGGCGGGAAGGGGATGATGATGATGATGATGATGATGATGATGATGATGATGATGATGATGATGATGATGATGATGATGATGATGATGATGATGATGATGATTCTCCCGCACGCAGCGCAAGCGATCAGGTCCCGGAGGCGGGCGCGCGGCGCGCGCGCGGCGACCCGTAAAGGATGACGGGGCGCCGCGCCCAAGCCGTGCGGCGCCCTCAGACGACCTCGTCCAACGAGGCCATCTGGACGGCCAGGTGGCCGTAGCAGCGCCGCAGGCCTGCCTGAGTAAGGCGGGGAGGGGGGGAGGGGGCCGAGAAGCTGCAGGACCTGAACGGGCGCGAGCGGCAAGGAGAATAGAGAAGCGCATTCTCCCGCACGCAGCGCAAGCGATCAGGTCCCGGAGGCGGGCGCGCGGCGCGCGCGCGGCGACCCGTAAAGGATGACGGGGCGCCGCGCCCAAGCCGTGCGGCGCCCTCAGACGACCTCGTCCAACGAGGCCATCTGGACGGCCAGGTGGCCGTAGCAGCCATACCCAGGCTCAAAGCCCTTGCGAAGTGACAAGGTTTTGGCGGGCGGCCGCGAGCAGAAGGGGCCACGCAGTGGGGCCACAGTTCAGAAAGGAAGCGACAAGGAAGTCGCTCGCGCCATCGAAGTAGGTGACACGGGCCCGAGCGGCATCAGGCAAGGCGGAAAGCATCGCGGCGGAAGCATCGTCGTGCAAGAAGCGCTCCGCGCTAGACGCCTGGCGCCAGCGACTACGCCAGAAGATACGACCAATATCTTCTGTGGCCGTATGAAAGTCTGTCGCGCCTGAGCCGCGGGGGCAAGCAGGGGTCAAGTGGAACCCCGCTGGCGTCTCGGCGAGCGGTACGCCTAACGCCAAAAGTAAATGGTTCCACCGAGTACGGAAGCCGCTTTGACCAAAGGTCGACAGAGGATCGGTGGGACCCAAATGCCGAAAGACCATCTCCAAAACCCGAACCACCGCTTTGTCAGAGCACCAGGCGTGCTGTGGCGGGTAAGACATGCTGCTCACTGGATCGGGAATGGTCATCCAAGCGTTGCCTGAGGACTCAAGGCAATCCGAAGGCAACAAAAGGTCACAGCGACGGGCTGACAGCAGCTCGTCGGGCTTCAAGGACATCGTGAACCCTGCCAGCAGCAAGGCGGCCATGACTGGCCAGTCCCAAGTGAAACAAACTGCCACCATAGCGCGCAAGAGCGCTCGTGGCATTGGCGGCCGAAGGCGAGGTGGCTGAGACCGCTTCCAGGCCCTCGCCACTCCCCACGCCTCGGTGAGAAAGGGCTTCCAATGAGGGAGACGTGCCTGGACGCCTATGATCGCGTGCACCAGGATGTTGAGCGGGAAACCTGCGTCGTGCAGCCACACGCCGAACGTTGCGAGGAACCTCGACAGCAGGATCCCACTACGATACAGCGGAAGTGGCGCCACCCCTGCGTCCTCGGCGCACCACAATTCGAACGCGTAGAGAGCTCTTTTGCGCCGATCGCCGGCCGAAGTCAGAACAGCGCCTGACCAGGGAGCGCTGGGAGGCTCCGTCTCTGCCGCCCTGCGGCGGCGGCGGCGCGCGGGGTGGGGGACTCGCCGAGGCCAGGCAAGGGTGGCACTCTCGTCGCGATGCCGCGCCGGCTCAGCCTCGCTGTGCAAGCCCGTACCAACCCTGGCCTCCGCCTCGGCGGCGCTGTCCACCTCCGCGAGGGCAGTTGGCGCTGCCACAGGCGAGGGCGAGTACGCCGCCGCCTCAGGGAATCCAGCGGAGGCGGCCTCTCTGACGCAATCAGCAAGACGAGAGCGGGCGATGCGCATCGCATCCTTGCGCCGCTCGAGCTCGGCTAAGAGCGTCTGCATTCGCTTCGCCAGCTCTCCCGCGCTCTCGCCAGTCTCTTCGCCTGTTCCCAGCATAACCTCGGTGAGAGCGGCCTCGGCAGCGGCGACCGAGGATAGGAATCGCGCGCGAGCGCGCCGGTCGGCACGCGCGCGCCGCGCAACCGCGGCCGCTGGGCCAGCGACTCGGCTGGTGCGCATCGCAACCGAGGTAGCGCACGCCCCGTCTTGGGGCAGGCCTCGAGCCGCGCGCGCAGAGGGCTCCAAGGAGTCGAGAAGGTGTGGCGCAGCCGCCAACGCGTCTGAGCCCTTCTCGTGCGCGGCTCCGCTAGGTTGGGGGAGATCCGCGCTATCAACGGGCGAGTCCACCGACAGAAGTGCGGCGCGAGGCGCGGCCGCGGGGCCAAGAGACCTCGGACTGGCCCCGGCACGGGGCGCGGCCTCAAGCATGGCGAAGGAGGCGGCGGCGGGCCCCGAGGCCGCGGGTATGCGCGCAAGCGCGTTCGGCCGCAATCGATCCGCAGGAACCCGCATGGGTGCACCGTCGACGCGTAATGCTGGTGGCGCACTGGCGGCGCGAGCAGGAGGGCCCATGCTGATCCTGGCGCCCCGCGCCGAGAATGCGCCAACCGGCAAGCTCCCGGAGCTCGCCGAGCCGGTGACCGTGGGCGGGTCGCGAGCTCCGGAAGCGAGGTCGCAAGCGGGGTCGCTGCCGGAGCCGCGCGGCGGCGGAGCGGCCGCGAAGCGGGCGGCTGGGCCAGCCGAGCGGGTGCTCGCGCGAGCGCCCCGCGGCGGCGGTGCGCGGCGAGAGCCCCGCGGCGACGCCACTGGCGGCGCGTCCTGCGAGTCCGACTGGCGTCGCGGGGCGCGGTCGGAAAAAGTATGCGGAACGCGGGCGCCGTCCCCCGGCGCAAGCGGCGCGTCGCGCCACTTCGAGGTGCTGCCGAGCCGGGCGCTGCTGGAGGGGGCACCGGGCGCGCCTGCTCCAAGGCCCGGGCTCCAGGAGCGCGAAGGCAAAGGCTCACGCCCCTCGTCCGCCGACGCGGCGGCGCGATGGCGCGCGCAAGGCTGGCCCCACAGCGCGAAATTGGCAGTGCGCCTGGCCCTACGACCCGGGGGCGGCGCGGCCGCGCCAGGCGCCGAGAGCAGCGCCGCGGGCGCACGAGCAGCGCGCGCACGACGGGGGCGCTCAGCGCGAACCGTTTCCGCTGGACGAGCTGGCCGATGGCGCCTTCCGCGCGAAGAGCAGGGCGCCGAGGGAGTCCCAGAGGCGGAGGCCCCGAAATCCGGCCGTGCTCCGCCCAGCTCGGGCTGCAAGCACTGGCAGGCGCCGGCGGCGCGCCCGTCTGGCCACGGCCGCGCTCTTGCATATAGGCGCGGGCCCGCACGAACGCCTCCGCGGCAAGTCCCGTGCTCCCGTTCCTGGCAAGGTAGGGTTCCCGCTCCCGGCTGGCAACGAGAAGCCTCGCCAAGCAGGAGCGACTTCGCGTCGCAGAACCTGGACCAGAGGGGAGAGGCGTCCGCGCGGTCCGATGCGGACAATGGGCGATGGCGCGCCCTGTCCGGGCGGTGCGGCGTGGCCAACCGCCGGAACTGGCGTTCCATGGCCGACCGGTCGGCACCCGGTTTGAGCTGAAGGAGCTCGCGCGCCGTCCGCACCTTTGCAACCTTGGCGGGTCGCTTGGGATCGGTCCGGGCGGCGAGCCTCGGCCTGGCCGCCGAAAGCTGGGCGGGCGCGCCGGGCGGGCCAGCGGCAACGGGGGCCGCACCCGGCCTGAAGGGCGCTTCGAAAGGCGACGCGCCCTGGGAGGCTTCATGGGGAAGCGCGGAGAGCTCAGCGGCACCTTCGGCGCTCCTTCCCCCGAGGCATCCGCCGCCCACCGCGGGAGAGGCGTTCCGCCTAGGAATCTCTGGAGCCTCGGCTTGCGCTGGGTCGGGCTGCGGAAGCGCGCCGGGAGCTTCGAGAAAAACCGGCGCCTCGACCCCAGTTGCGGCGGCCGCGCTTGCAAACCATGCGTCGGCCGCGGGGGCGGGCGAGAGAGGGGGACGTGCCGCCAGACCATGGGCGGCCCGGGCATTCCCCCGCGCAAGGAGCCCCTGTGCTAGGACTAGCGCGGCGAGCCGTCCCCATAGGCAAGTGGGGTAGGGAGAATGCGCGTCAGCAAGTGCGACCCAATCGAACCTACCGAAATCGCCCGCCTCAGCGTCGACCAGCCACGCAGGAGCCTCCCTGGAGGGGGGGCGCACAGGCCGATTCCTGGTGGGGTCATCCGCCCTGTGGACGTCGGTGGGCACATAGAGGCCACCCATGTATAAGCCACCGCTCAAGATGTAAGGCAAAGCCGTGCTGAGGACATGGGAAAGCCCTGGAGAGCTGCTGCGACCGTGGGCGGCCGCGCCCAAGGCGACCTTAGAATCGAGCAGCACAGGGATCCGAGAGTCCGGCATGCGAACGCAGCAGTACTTGCACAGACTCTTGAAAACAGTGGCCTCCAGGATGTTGATGTGACGCGGCATTCGAAATTCCCATTTATAGGCCAGGCGGAAGTGCAGCGCTTCCGACAGTTCGCTTATCCAGTGCGGCGCGACTGGGGGCTCAATGGAAGGGAGCCCCAAATCGCGATGCAGCTGGGTGAGCTCGGGGCCTAATGGGACTCCCCGGTCCAGCACGGCAAGCAAACTTCGGTTGTGGAGGACCGTGTGCCACCCTCCGTGCTCAGACCGGCGCCACAACTCTTGGGAGAGATGTGGACTGATCGAGGAGCGGACCACTCCCCCCAGCCGAGGGAGGCGTCCGTGCCGAACACTTCGGGGGAGTAGCCCGCGCGAAGGTCGGTAATGGCGACAAAGGCCAGGTAAGTGCAGGCTAGCAGCTCGTCGCGAACGGAGACGGGGAGCTCGTATTCGAACCCATCTTCCGTCGACAACGACGACAGGAAGTTGTAGACGTGCGTGA